AAATTCAAGAAATATAACATTATCCCTATGAAAACACCTATGGATGCAAGCATGCATCTTGTTTCCAATACTGGTGATAGTAAGTCTCAATTGGAATACTCTCGTATTATTGGCAGTTTAATGTATGTCATGAACTGCACTCGACCTGATATTGCTTACTCTATTAGTAGGCTAAGTCGATATACGAGTAATCCAAGTACTGAGCATTGGAAGGCAATTGTTAGAGTTTAAGGGTATTTAAAACATACCAAAAACTTTGGATTGCACTATTCAAGATATCCAGCAGTGCTTGAAGGATACTGTGATGCAAATTGGATATCACATACTAAAGACTCCAAGTCAACAAGTGAATATGTATTTATACTTGGAGATACTCCAAAAATACCAGTTATTAGCGTAAACCCCTGGCCTGCTACATTGACTGGTGGGAATGGGACTCAAGGCTGATGCACTTCTCTTGCAGGCCTGACCTATACCTATACAAAAAAACAAAATAGTACACAAGCGAACAAATTCATGCAAAAACCTAATCCCCGTTTGATGATCATTATTTGAGAAAAATTATGTTTTTAGTACTGATTTTTAAAAGAATATATGATTAAAAAGTAATGAAAATTTTTTAATTTACGTGCAAAATATTTTATTTTGTAAATATATAATTAAAAATGAATATATAATTTTTTTTTTCAAATAACTATCAAACAAGGGCTAACATCAACTTAGAACAACGAACAAAAAGAAAACCTGAAATTTCACTACCACAAAGGGAATGATGTATAACGGTTCATAAGAATGAATCCGTAGTTAAAAAGTGGCTAAAAGTCTTAAATATTTACAGGAAATATATATAAAAATAAAATCTGATCAGCTTAATTATGAAGAATAATGAAACATGCACTAAAAGGTGGGATGTGTTTGAACAAAATCTATATTAGGTGGCCCCCATATGAGCATCCACATGATTTGGTATTATTGCACGCAGGGAAGTCGTTAGCTTATAATTTTGAAGTTTGATCTAGTCACAAGTCTTCAACACATTAAGAATTATGTATCGCAAATTCTTCTATCGACATACTGCTCAATTCAATTCGACAACCCAGTAAGTCGATTGGATTTTTGTAAATTGCAACTAAAATTTCATATTAAGAACAATGTATCGCAATCTCTTCTATTCAGTTCGACAACCTAGTAAGTTGATTGAATTTTGTAAATTGCGACTAAAATTTCATGGTCGTGGAAGAAATGGTGTTGCCTTTAGAACTCCATACAGTATTTTATATGTATTACAATCACTTCAAACATATCATAATTTCAGTCTTGTGATAGCTAAGCTAAAAATATTTGTATTAATTTTTAATTTTATGTTTTTGCTACGTTATATTACTTGACTAATAGACTGATAATCATCTTTAATGGAAACAAATAACATTATTCTTTCGAGTAATGCTATTTGAAGTCATTTATTACGACAGTCGCTTTACGTTGCATATATGCCGTATATGATTATTTGATGTATTAATGTGGTATTTTTTTATTGACTCGGGAATTAAACAACCACCTGCCATTTGTGTGTGCTACGTAGTACGACTGCCGCAGTGAACAATTGCAAAATAACATTATTCTATTCTTTCAATTAATTCATCATTGAACAATTCAATAAAATCAAATCTTTCCAATAAATTAAGTGAAATTGAGATTCATTTTGATTTCGATTAAAAGGGGGACATTAGAGGCTGTTTGGTGAGGATTTAAATTAGATTTTTAGTATATTGTGATAGAAATTTTTGAAATATGTAGTTGAAAAATTGTGAAACTCATGAAAGATGTGATTAATATTGATTATTTAATTTTGATTTGAATTAAAATCAGATTTTAATTCAAAACAAACAGGCTCTTATGGTTACCTAATCTGATGCTAAGCACTACTAGCTCTTGATTATCTTGTTCGATGATAAAATCACTAGGATTCTTGAAACACTGGATATTTGACCAAGTTGCTATTAATTGCACTGAAATTCAAGAACCATCATTTTCATAAACCAAATAGTAAAATAAAACAAAACCTGAACCTCAAAATTACCAAAATTTATTACCAAACAAAAAACTACTATACAAACTATTTCTTCTTCTTTTCCTTTTTTGCCCATATTTTTCCTGGCAATATTTACGTTTCAATTTTCACCCCACCAAAGAAAAAAAGAAAAGAAATAAATTTCAAACAAAAACTACGAAATCGGCAAATACTCGCCGTAGAAATCAGAAATTCCTGAAGCCATCCATAACCTCTCGTTAAAAGCGAGGACATTAAGGAGCCCTTATTTGGGCGATCTACAAAGCGGGCACGTTTTATGATCGTGGTCCATCCACCGGTCCAGACAATTCCTGTGAAATATGTGTCGACAATTTGTCAGCCGTCGGATCTCATCGTCACCGTTAAACTCGTACAAGCAAACAGCACAGTTTTCCGGCGGCTCAAATTCATTCAAATCTGAAAACTTCACCACAGGCAGAAGCTCCCGGATCAGCACCGCGGATACTGACCTGGGTTGCTCCGACGATCCGGAATCCGGATACGCCATTTCTGATTCCAAAAAATCCCCAAAGCCCAGTTGAGACAAAACTGTAGTAATTGATTTTCTGATGAAACCCAGAACTGTAAGGAGATAAACTAACAGCTTTGGAAGAAATAAGTCAGTATATCCCATTGGGAATCCCATTTTTAACTTAAAAACCAAAATAATCACTTTTACAGTGAAAGAAGAAGTTGAACTGAGTGTATGTATAGATGTTAGCGTGTGTACTGTGAGAGAGATAAGAGGAAGAAAGGTTTGAGGAATGGGAGAGTGAACGGTAAGAGATTTAAACGTTGAGTGGATAATATAGAGAAGGCCCAAGACCCCTTGTGTGTGTGTGTGTTGGCTGTCAAGTTAGTGCGTGTCGTACGGTTTTGGGCGTATTGCAATCATGCTGCATGTTCATTTTTTTTTATATCATTTTTTATATTATGTCATGTATCGACGCATGATTAGACATTTTTAAAAAAGAATACACTTTTTTGCCCAACATTTTTTGAATTTTCACACAATATAAGGCAAGATGTTATGAAATGTACACTTAACATAATTCAATTTGTCGAGGCACTAAGTTGACGACCATTTTTGTATAAAAATTGCAATAATTTGAAAATTTGGATTTCATATTCACAAAATGAAGCAAAATAATTTGGAACAATTTAGAACTTAGAAGGATCAATCATGATGTGCAACATCAAAGGAGAAAAAGACACTAGAATAGCGATGGCCTATGAACATCAAGTGGGTGAGTGGGAGCTATTTGGTTAGGTCACCCAATCATCCTCTAGAAACCTGCAAAATAAGCCAAAAGATCGATTAAAAATGGCAATTCAGAAACAGTTTTGCTATACTTGTATCACTGGTTGACAGTTTTGTTTACACTTCATGCTATGCCACATAATTTTGTCATTAATTTCAACAACACTTAAAACAATCAATAACCTCGATTTTATCATATTAAACAATGTCAAACTAGTTGTACACAATTTGTGTACAAATTTAATTCATTCAGAAAAGAACAGGTTAGGCAATAAGGACAAGTGGGTGATCATACATTTGGTGCAATGATCCACCACACTCTAGAATAAGTTTAACATATAATTGGGTCACTTGATTATGATTTTGTTTCAATTATATTATTTTGATCAAATTTGTTAACTTGATAAACAGAATATTGACACGACGACCAATAATGTATTTCACGTAAGATTTATTTATGTCTATATCTATATCGATGTTGATATCATTTTTCCGATTATCAACTATTAGAGTGACTTTAAATTGGGACATGAGTACAATGACCATCAGAATGTTTTACCCACTAAATTAACACCGTACTCATCATATTGACATTAAAACACTTGGAACAGACAACAACATACTAAAATTGTACTAAACACATTGAACTACTATAGCGACGAAAGATAACGTAATCTCATATAAAAGCGAATCTTTATAATTTTGCGTGTTCTTATGCGTATTTTCTTTTCTGCAATTCTATCTTTTTGTGATAGAATTAGTATTTCTAATTCTCTAACATAAGGAATGGTCAATTATTATGTATACTCAGAGGTGATGCATTACAACTTATTCCATGGTAAAGAATTGAGTAAAATGTTCTACCAAAACATAACAAAATAAATGGCTTGAATGTTTTTCTTGATTATGAAATTTATGCACTTTTTAATTTTATCTAATATTACATACCAAATACGATTCAGCCGATATGAAAGGCGGTTGTCGGCAAGGCGTGAGCTGTGAACCCTGCTCATCAAGCCAAACAGCATGGGACAGATGAAGTGTGATGGCGTGCCTGTTTGTGAACCAAAGTGGAACCCCTCACCTTCACAGTAAGGCTAATCTGAAATGTGTATCGAGATGCCTAGACATTGTGACCCCACTTCTTGTCTATAAGAATAAGGCATCAAAATAGAGCCAAATTTCTTGATCCAGAAAATGGGCCCCCATCCGGGTCACCCCCGGACCAATTCCCTCTCTACTCACAACCCTCTACTCGTCCTTGCTTCCTTCATTGTCTCTCCCTTTGTCCTCATGTACTTACTCCTTTACACGTGTCAAACAAGTGGGGCCAGCCTCTCACAGGGATTGTAACCTCATCGGTAGAGATGCGGTCTGCGGGTCGTGTTGAACTTGACTCTTGAGTTCTACAATTCGGATGAGTCTTCTCACACATCATTTTTAGTTTAGTTCTTTTTTTTTTTTTTCCTAATTTTGTAGAAAATTTAATCAAAAATGTTTTTTAAAGATTTGTGTGGCATGAGCCATTTAAGATCTTATCACTTGTTTGACACCTCTAATATTTCTATTTGAGATTTTTGTCTATTAATACTCATTAACAGTTGCATAATGAACAATTAATATTTTTCGATAATACTAAGTTATTGTGATTTTTTTTTATTCTACCTATTGGTTCGTAACATGACTTGAAAATCAGCCTACCAACTTGGTTAGTGCCTAGACAATAAAGGTATAAACGAGTTGGTACCAATTTTGAAGTGCTTCGGGTTCATATACTCTCACTTGTCTAACCTTAACCTTTTTTAGGCATATTGGGCTACGGACTTGATAATCTATATGGACAGATTTTTAAGGTGGTTCATGTCACGTCATTCTTATCTTGACATGACCACTTTTTTAGGTACATTGATGTCAAATTTTGATGTCCATATAGCATGACTGATGTTGAAACCAAAGTATGGTTATGTTTTGCTTTTCATGCGTAGGCCTGCCTTACGCCTTTTCTTTTGACTTTTACGCTCTTTCTGTCCATTATGTTTGACATTTCAAGATGTATCAAAATTTGTATCATTAATTGTTTAAAATGTTGTTAAAATTAATGTATAAAAAGTTATCACCTCACAACAAAGTCAAGATCTTCACATGGCAAATGATATACCATTGAAAAGATAATTGAATTTGGAGTTCGACACAAAATATGGATCACAATTCGAAGTTTGTACATCAAAGGTTATGCACGCTTGAAATTGCATCAGATCAGAGCTTCCGAGCTCAGTTTACAAACCAAGGTCGCGGGTGGGAAAATTTTGAGAGACATAAAGCCGTTGAAACTTGCTGTTTGCAAATAGAGGTCTCACCTATTTCGAGCCTATTCGAGATTTCTTGTTTTTCAACCTAAAATCAAGGACAAACTGAGTATTTCCACTCTATCTTGAAGGCTCCGAGTAGAAAGATTATATAAAATCTTTTTAGGAGATTCTTAATCTAAACTAACAAACAAACTATAGTTTGGTCAAACAAATTGGTATCAAAAACACAAAACAAATTCATCTTTTTAGGAGAAGTCAATAGGAAGGTTCAAATTATTCAAGATCAAGACTTGATGATTTTCGAATTTCTTGGATTGAAAATAAAGATAAGAGTGATAAATTAGATCTTCTTGACACTAGAATAAACGTATGATGTCTATGTCAACTTATTCTTGTTTTGATTCATTTACCGTGTTTCTTGAGTAGACCAGTTATTAGAACCAACAATGTAGCTAATTGACTTTAACTCATATTTTAACTCGTTATTTTAAATTGGGTTGAATTGTCATGATTGGTTTATTTTAACTTTTGTTAATTATATGAATAAAAATACATGATATTTGTTACATGTTAAATCGAGATGCCGCATCTTACCCAATATTATTTTTCATGAATTTATTGTTAAATTGAGAGGTTTCTATTTATTCACACAGTCGCGCTGAGTTCTTATGTTTCACTTTTATTAAATTATTAATTAATATAAGAAAGTTTGATATTACTTGTATACAATACCATTCACTCGCGGGATAAAATTCGTAACATCACATTCAGACAAATATGACTAAATAGAGGTTTTTTACGTGTTGCTTATCTACTCGAACTTGATGCAAGAACTCCGTAACTCGTATTTCTTTTTTAATTTTGTTTGGTACCACATTCAACTACTAGGAATCAGAACTTGCCTGCCATAAGGTCGAATTGAACATCAAAACCTATCAAATGGTTAGCTAAGTATCAAATTCCATCCAACTTTACTTGTCAGAAACTGTCTAATTACTCCAAATTAATGGCAGATAATTAATTATTCCAATTTAGGAGAGATACATCATCATCAACTTGCAGTACAGTGCAAAAAACTTAAAAGCAAAAGCTATTCCTTGACCAGCTTAAATACAAAATAATCCAAAAGTTCATTAAAAATAATCAGGTTTCCACAAATGGTTATGAAAATTCGAATAGAAAAGCAAGCACTGATTAAAAATCCAAAACATCAGATTCCACTAGCTTTCATATAGGCATGAGTTGCCATTAAGAGAAAAGCTGATCATGACATTGAAATATTCCGTCGCTGATGACCAAGTTTATGTGAAATTCTTTATCGACGGAAAAGAACTCAGTTTAGTGACAGCTTCATCGAAAGAACATCCATCACTGAAGGGGGGCGATGTCCGACCATGATTTAGTTGTTTTTATAAATTGTGTGTGTGTGTGTGTGTTTTTTTGTGCAGATTAAAATTAATAATATTCCCTTTCATACAAAACTAATAATTATAAACTCTATACTATATTAAATAAACAAATTAAAATGGCGCTCTTACCTCCGTCACCGTTTGCAAGTATTATATTATCGCTAAATTTGTATAGATTTTTTTGACCTTTTTCTTGGGAAATTCGAGATGAAATTATTGTTAAATTGTGGATATCATGAAATGTGGTAAAAATTGATTATTGACTTTGATTTAAATTAAAATCTTGATTTCAATTTTCATTTTTAAGATATTGAAGGAATTTTGGATAGATATCAAGTCCCTGTTTGGTGAAAATTGAAATCAAGATTTTAGTCCAAGTCAAAATCAATAATTAATTTTAGTAACACATTTCATGCGACCCACAACTTTTCAACTATACATTTTATCAATTTCTATCAAAATTTATTAAAAATCTGATTTTAATTTTCACCAAACATGGGCTAAATTCTTGGACTGAAATATTCTTTCCAAAATAACATTTTCTTTCTAAAACAAATTACATCACAAAATGTCCTTATATGTGTCGCCAATGGTGGTCGAACATTTCCAATTTTCCGACTTGTATAGCCATGTTTTCTTTAGTGATCACACATATATCATCAAGAAG